AAAATCAATCACAGAAACAATTAAGCCACCCAACACTAGCTAGAAATGATTTGTGGTCAAAAGAAAGTGCCAACTGCCTGGCATTCTCTTGAATTAAGGGTCAATTTATAGGAATTTTGCTAGATGGCAATTCTTGAAACCATTCAAAAACAGCCTTGTCCAGGTTTTCATGAGTAGCAGTCCACATTTGCTTAATGCAATGAGGTCCCATGGTGAAGTCACGCATTTTAATTTTTGACCAATTTTTCAAAATTGTTATCAAAGTTGCAGGCATAATTCCAACTCTACTTGCCACCTTCTTTTTTGTGCTGCCAGCAACTGCAGCAAAAATGCTTAGCTTCTTATCAAGAGTTTATTGTTGGCATTTTCTTTTTTGCAGTTTTAAATTCCCCATTCTGTGGACTGCCAAAAATCATTTTGAAAAACAATATGGAAAGATTTTTGCCATGACTGCAGGGTTAAACCATGACTCTAAGCTATAAATGATGCATCTTTTTGCTTGAATTTTTTCTTTTCATGATTGTTCATTTTCCAGAAGAAAATTGACACATTTTTATACAATAAAGAGGCAAGGCAAACATTTTGTTTGAGAAATTTGACTGATTTTTTTAACCCTGTACATACAACTGACATGCATTGCTGTGTTATAGAGACAAAGGAAAAAAAAACAATGAAAAAATGCACTGAAGTGGGCAACACAAGCAATTTAAAATTGCAATTAATTTGTGTCACCAAGGTTTTTATCCTCAATTTTACCAGCAATTCTTTCCATACAATTCTTAGCATTCCACAGTATCCAGAATTAAAAAGTAAAAAAAAAATTCTAGTTTTCACAAAATTTGTGTTGAGCAGTCACTGTCCAAAGTTGTACTGGAACCTCTTTCACAATGGGACATGAAAATTTTTAAATCTTTTAGGTGTGCATCTTTAATTTTATTCTTCAGAAAACACTGAGGAACTGCTCCTAGGTTGGATGTTTGGATGGATTCTGTGGACTTCTTGGTTCATGGTTTGATCCTGTAAATTTTTAAAAATGTATTCCAGGGAAGTCATTCCTGTTGGGGCAGTTATTCTACTGGATTAAAGTTTTTTTATTTGAATGTCCTTCCTGTAAGTTCATGGGAAACAGAATGCTTGGATTAACCTCCAAGGGTACAAACAATTCTACATGCAATTTTTGCTGTGTTCCAGGGGAGTGGTTTCATGGGAGGGTGGAAAAACTATCTCTCCTGGGTGGATCCCATGGAGATTTTGAAACATTTGGGCCTCNGGAAGGGTGGAAAAACTATCTCTCCTGGGTGGATCCCATGGAGATTTTGAAACATTTGGGCCTCTATTGAGGCCTCTTTTGATTCAGGCTTCAATGGTGAATAACACAAACAAATTTCAAGTAATTTCTCCTAATTTTTCCACAAAAACCAAAAAAATTGGGTCAAAAAAGTTTGTTATAACGGAATTCCCAAGTTTGTTATAACGAGATTTTTTTAACATGCAGTCTATAGGCTTTCTGCCGGGACTTGAAAAAATGTTTGTTGTATCGAAAAATTTGTTGTAACGGTATTTGTTGTAACAAGATTTTACTGTATAAGGAAATTGCGCAAAAGATTTCTTTACAACCACTTGCAAAAGACTTTACACAGAAACCTGTGAAACAGCAAATCAAAACGAATCCAAAAGACTTTAAAAACAAAAAAATTTTGTAAGGTTACCAGCTCACCAAAAAGGTTTGCGTCAACAGCTCCAACTGTTGATTGGCACTGAAGACCTCAGGTTCAATTTTCTGTCCTGAAGAAGGCTTGACTCAGAGAAACCGTTGCAAAAGAAGAGCTTGAGAAAGATTGGTTTTTTCTCTTTGTTGTTTTTTGAAAACACTTGCACTTGTGAGAATCGGGCACTTCAAAACGCTTCACAATAACAACAATTTTGTCGACGCTGAGTCGGCACCTGTCAAACTTTCCTCTGTCAAAGCCCTGATTTGTTACCAAGAAAAACAATGGAACCTCTTTTTATTTTTGCCTAGCATGAGTTTGTAACCCAGAAACTGATTTGCAATTATTTTCTTTTCTCCTTATTTGGATGGAGATCCTTCTCTACAAGCTATTCGTTTCCTTGCAGCTGTTCCCCTTTTGTTTTGGTTCCCCCTCTCTCACATCAGCCCGCATTAATGCGTGAAGGTTGTTATTGCGCGTTTCTCCTTTTCAACTTGCTATTTGTCAACAGTGACAAACAACCTGCACTGCCTTCTTCTAAACTGCTAATTTAGAAGAAGCCTATTCCACAGAAGTCGCGAGTGTATATATGTTATTTATATTTATAATATATGCCCAGTGATACCTGGTTATTTGTATTCATCAAGAGTGTTCAGGGAACCTGCAGTTCCTCAATCTTGGAGAATATTTCACCTCCATATTTTATGTTTCCAGGAAGGTATAAATATACTTATACTTCCCACATATTTCCTCAGAATTGATCTAGAGTCATTCACGGTTATTTCTCAGAGAGACTTGTGGAACATTTTAGCAAGACTCTCTTAAAGCTCTCTATTTTTATGTTTGTCTGATTGTACAAATATTTGTGAGTTGAATATATTTGAAGTATATATTTTTATTGAACTCATATATTTATTTACCTCGGTCTACGGACAACAGGCACCCCTGCTCCAAAGAGCAAATTTGTAATGCTTTTCCAATTACAATTCTGATGCGTTGCTCTAAGTGGATGGTTATTTGGACAAAAAGGAATTATGTACTGCATGCTGCATGCTGGACTGTTGCTGATAATGGACTGTATGAGCGTGAAACTTGGGTGATCCACGCTCCTTCCACAGTTTTCGTAATTTTTTTTTTACTTCCACACCGTTTGTTAGTCATACCCCTCAGTTAGCAAAAAAAAAAAAAAGTGTGACTATAAGAGTATTGTTGCACTGGTTCTCAGCCATTCGGGGTTGACGTTCGTCAGCTTATCGAGACCATCTGCTGTCGGAAAAACGCCGCTGTGGAAAACCTCAAGACATATTATCGCCAGCGTGAGTTGTCGGTCAGTGCCGTGTAGTTAAGTCGAACTTGGCATCCTCCCCTCCTTGTACTTCAGTTTACCACGTTGACTTGGAGGAAGATCTACGAAATTCACTGATTTGCGATGCGAAGAACCTCGTATTTTCGATCGCTTTTGGAATTCGCGAGGAGACTGCTCACGTTGACAGCGGTAGAGTCTTGCAGGACGCGAGAGTAAGTCTCATTTGTGCTTTATTATTCCTCCACTTTCAGACACCCAGCTACTTCGCTTTGAAACCACAGTATTCTTTTCGCAAAAGGTTATATTATCGAACACAGTGGTGAAAATCGATCCAATTATGTGCACGAAATCTCATGTTCCACATTTTTAAACATTTCATTGAATCTTTGAGCCATCGTTGCGTTCTTTGCCTTTCTGGTCAATGTTCGATTCTCTGCAAAGCTTGAACTTTTGTTTTCGTAAAAGTTTCTGAATTGCATGCACGGTGAGGTTGAAACTGGAAGTACCATGCACCGGAAAAGAGAAACAAATACAGTACTTCTTGGTGATGGCTGACCAAATCGTACTTGTGAAGTAAAGTTGCCTTTCTGAGATTCGGTAGTAAGATTCCTTCAAAATGAAACTCTCTTCTTCCAACCATTTTCTGGCAAATTTCCTGTTGAAAAATTCTTGACTTATATTGTTTCCAAAGATTCAATCAATAAAATGAAACAATTAGCTTCGTTTTCGTGCAATAGAAATGCGAAGCATCTTTATAAACATATTTCAAAGGGTTTGGCATCTTTAAAATACCAATGTTATTGCAATATTACCTATTATTCGATGAAAAAAAGGAATTGGTGAAAAGAAGCAGAACTTGAAATAATTGAAAATGGCTTTCTCATCATTGAAACCTTCTTATATAGAAATGTTCGTTTAGTCGAACTTTGAAGACAGCTTCCATTCTCATCTTCGTCAGAAACAGAACTACAATACGAGCAAAAATATTACGACGTGAAAAATCACAGTAACTTGGGGTCGATTTTTAGTTCACTTCGGAATTTTCGCTCCTTTTTTCATACTTGAGCAAACGCATTTCTCGTCGGAGGGTGCTCAAAAAAACAAGGCTGATTTTTGTAAAATTTCAGCTTATAAGATACAGTACTTGCCTAAATCAGATTCAATTGACAATGAATAGTAAATTCATATCAGATCCAGCCAAACTCGTGCTGTAGGAATATCTTCTTCAACAGGCTATGAATGCTGTTGGTGTTGGAAGATTCAGCTCTTTGCAAGAATTCGGGTTCATCGAAATCTTGAGGAGGCGGTCGTAATATCAGATCCAGCCAAACTCGTGCTGTAGGAATATCTTCTTCAACAGGCTATGAATGCTGTTGGTGTTGGAAGGTTCAGCTCTTTGCAAGAATTCGGGTTCATCGAAATCTTGAGGAGGCGGTCGTTTCCTCACATGAAAGAGCTCTTCCAATACTATCAGAGGTTGACAAATCAATCGATCGAAGATGCGATCAAGAGCGAGTGTTCAGGCCAGTACGAAGCCTTTCTGCTTACCACTGGTAATTTTTTTTTAAATTTTTTTCTAAAATGTAGACATAGCGTCTCAAGGCATTCAACGAAAACCCCTTCCCTAACTCATCAATGCTCAGAGATCTTGTAAAACCAAAACGCTGAATTACATTAAATATTTGCTTTCATATAAATTTTTTTCTAAAATGTAGACATAGCGTCTCAAGGCATTCAACGAAAACCCCTTTCCTAACTCATCAATGCTCAGAGATCTTGTAAAACCAAAACGCTGAATTACATTAAATATTTGCTTTCATATATTGCATATGTTGGGTCGAGCTACGATTATATGCAAGGCTTTATTATATTTTAAAAGGATGATTTCTGAAATTTTATTTAAGATCAAAAATTACTCGATGACCACGCAAAGAAGCAACTCTTGTCTTAATTTTCATGGGATTGCTTGCCATTAAATCCCTGTTAGATGGACAAGTTCTTGTTCCGTTGACATTTTAAGACAGTGTATACCTTCTCATATCTTCATCAGGAAGAAAATGTCTACAAGAGAAAACCAACCCTGTTTGACGTGGCTTTTAGAGGATTAGCCTGGAAAACTTTTTTATTCAGATACTGCGATACAGTATTTTTCACAACTTAGAACGGCCTTCTGCTTCTAAAAATATTGCATTCCAATGGATGCACTTTTCCCCCACGCAAATGAATGATCATGAAATGATATAGTGTACAGTAATATGTATTACTGTATATCACTCAGCCAGAATCTCGTCTGTCTCTGTCCACTTTTGTGGAATCCAATAGAGAAAACAGTAGCAAAAAATACCAACTTTCTCTCATTTTGCTTGACCACAATGTGTATTTCTTTATACCAGTCGCCATGATTCGCGACAAAGCGTCGCACTTCGCCGAACGCCTGCACGATGCCCTGCGAGGTCTCATAGCAAAAAATACCAACTTTCTCTCATTTTGCTTGACCACAATCTGTATTTCTTTATACCAGTCGCCATGATTCGCGACGAAGCGTCGCACTTCGCCGAACGCCTGCACGATGCCCTGCGAGGTCTCATCACGGATGATTCCACGATTACCAGGATCGTGGTTTCTCGTAATGAAGTGAGTTAAGCGCGTTCATTTCGAATTTTTGAGTCACCAACGATAGTGCAATCGCAGATCGATTTGGACGACGTCAAGAGACGCTACAGGAACAAGTTCAATGCCATCTTGGAGGAGAAGGTTGGAAGAGAACTGTACGGGGAATATAAGCGGGCTGTGGTTCGCATTCTTGATAACAATTGAAGCGCTTACTCAGCCTCGGGGTTCCGTGGAGAAAATGTCAAATTTCTGCCGACTTCGGTTCAATCCACGGACTCCATGTTTGTGTCAGAAAACGATCGAGCATCCTTGGAAACTTGACGCTTGGATCGTCAGATTGATGTGCATACGCTTTGTGTTACGGGATGTGTGTTAAATGTAGAATCAAGCGTTCCCGTCATTCTGGGTTTCATTTCATTTGTTTTCCTGAGTTCAAGAAACAATTTGTAATCGGTTTACGCCGTTTTTCATGCTTACGCAAAAGTTTTTTCCTCGTAGAATTAACATACACGTACTGTAGTACTGTACACAGTATATACACGCAATATATTTCGTACGAACAATAAGTTCCAGATTCGTTTGCATTAAAAATTAAAGAAAAATGCGATGTCATTAATGTTGTTCTCCGGTTCTGCGATGTGAAGTGAAAGATTTGGGAACGTCAATCACTCAAATTTTCCGAGAATTCGATCTATTTTCGAAGACAAAGCATCAAGTTAGCGTTATAAGCGTCAAAGAACACAGACTATCCCTATGTAACCCGCAGGAATTACGGTATGAAGTTTCCTCATTCAAGCCAGAGAAGCCCCCATATGTCCCATGCTTACTCATGCGTCAAGCGAATCTTTTGAATTCAGAGCCTTGCGGAGGGATGTAGGATAAATGCGACCCTCGGAACAGATTGGACTTACACAGGGGACACACTATCACCATCAGCGCATGATTAGCCAACATCGGCATAATTATATTTACTGTGACGCTTAGATGTCGCTCGATGCATCAGGCGGAACGTCTGGGCCCATTGCGGGCATTGCTTCGCATATTCCAGCATCACGTGGAAAATGAAGCACATTAATTGAATTACTACAGTATATAGATATCATTAAAATAAAAACCGAAACAAAGTTCCCCAAATTAACCGAATTTATCAATTCAAGCCGGAATGGATGAGTTTGTAGACTAAACATAGAGTTTCAATTGGGAAAATTTGAACTTTAGAAACTCATCTCAGCAACATTAAATATAGTGAAATCACTCGACAGCCTTTTTCGTGGTAACCAAAAAATTAAATGAGATTTTACTTAGTTTGCGGCATAGTTTTTGAGGGGAAAAAACAAATGAACTCGGAATTCCAGGTGTGTTTAGCTGATACTGATGCAGGTGTAAAGTTATACATACTTTTTCCATCTCTCTAAGAAATTCAGGGGACCAGGAAAAATTTCGTTATGGAGAGAATTTCGATGCAGAGAACCTCTTTAATATGGGATTTTGGCTCTTTTGGAAAAACAATTCGTTGTACAGAGAACATCATTGTAGAGAGAACATCGTTGTAGAGAGAACATTGTTGTAGAGAGAAAATTGTTGTAGAGAGAACATCGTTGTAGAGAGAACATCGTTGCAGAGAGAACATTGTTGTAGAGAGAACATCGTTGTAGAGAGAACAACCTTGTGGAGAGAGAGTCTAACCCGTATCTCCTTATGTTTATTACAATTGTTTGGATTTTTTGATTCACTTCAGTTTATTGTCGGTATATACATGAAATTGAACTTGACCTTCTCTTCGTCTTCGTCGATTTCCGAAAGTTTCCGATCGCAATGCATTCCATGAAAATATATAATTTCCTGCATTGCAATGCTCTATTGGATTTTTTTATCATCAGAGCAGTAAATTACAGGAAAGTTATGCATACGATTATGCATCAAAAGTCAGGCAACTGAACGAAACCTGGGTTTTCGTCGCGCTGAAATTTAACTGATCCTATTTTCCCGAATCAGAGATGAAGATGTTTCTAAAATTTACCCCTCAGCTTCGAAAGCGGATGCGTTACTTTTATTTACAAGGAATACATTAATTTTTCATCTCAGCAACCATCGCAGATCTATTATTCTTCATCTACGCCGCCGGATGCGAAAATCCTATTTCGTTCGTCACATCGCCTCCGGTGAACAGGATCCTCGTAGATGAGTACATGTTCTTCTCAAGAAATCCATGTGGACATCCGCTCCTTTCGACGCTCAGCTTCGGAATAAATGGACCAAATCCAGAAGAGCAAGGGAGTCAGGGAAGAAGGAAGATATGAACTTATTTTTAGCTTCGCCATCTTGCGCTGCATGAGAGCTTTCCGGGGAGGAAGCGAGCTTCCCCTGAGCGACTTCGAAAAACAGCGTGTAAAGCTCGCCAGTGAGCAATGATTCATTCCACCAGACCTAAGAAATATAGACATGGACATTATGCGATTCTTCTGAGAAATGATAGCGAATCTGTTAATGAAGATTATCAAAACATAAGTTTTTCCGATCAGTATTGAATCTATTGTTGAACTGTTGTTTACTTCGGAAAGCGATGTAAATTAGAATGCGACACATATAAACTTCGCTCTGATCTGATCCCCATCACATCAATGTTTCGCATTCCGCTTTCAAAGTGTGCATAGCGTTTTATGCGGATTCTTTGACGCATAATTGTTTCCTATCATATTCAAGTCCAACGCGTAAGCGTAATCAATGCATATACAGTATTTAATACCCACTCTGATTAATGTCGATGAAGCTTTACGCGAGTTTACGCCATTCGTGCGGATGGAGAGATATTTATTATTACTATAACCTCATTTCAGAAACTGTGGGATGAACCGTCGTTTGGAGACGAAAAATTTAATCAGCTTCTGCGAAGTTCATGCCATGGAATGCAGGAGTGATGATTAGAGCATCGCGGTACTTCTGCGTACTTCTGAAATTATTAATAGTCACCTGATGATATTCCCGAAATGCCGTAATATAAGATAAAATCGGCTGCGCCCTGCGTCGCGAGTCATCATTGAACAGGGAAATTCAGCTTGACATTTTTACCTTAGCAACTCGACTACAAAAATGCTCTGAGGGTGTATAACTTATAACAAAAGGGTGTCAAGTATTATTCTTTTTTTCAACCGTATATTGTTCAGGTTCGCACAAAAAATTCAAATTTCACGCATTTTTCATGCGCGATCGAAGCGAGATTTTGCCTATTTTTCTGATTGGGATGCCTCTGGTTACGTCAGGTTAATGCCTAGTACTTTCATTGAGATACTCACATTATTCACCTGGTGCTTTGGACCAGGAGTTCAGCTAAATTATTTTTTTTAAGGACAAGAATTCATTTTGTTCTGGCTTGCAGCTGTCACTGCTCACATACAACCTACTGAGGTGTCCCACATGTCCAAGTATCAAATAAGTTGGGCCTTTCAATACTTCTTCGCTTTAAATATTCTATAATAGATTTTCATCTGCAGGAAGTCTTCAAAATTTGTCGCGAAAGTACGTAATAAAGTCCCTGCCTCTATTTAAGTAAGCTCAAATGTTCAAGTTTAAAAAAATGCAACTGGCTTCCCTCAATCACTTCCTCCTTCGACTGGAGCTGTGGACCTGAGAATCATATTCAACACTGCATTTTTATTTTGTTTTCGTGGTAATCCTGTTTTCACCTAGGAAGTGTCTCTTTTATTGCAATCTGTTGAAATCACTGCTCTAGACTTTCTAGATCTAAACTTCTAGAGAAATTGTTTCAATTCCCCTGCACTGCCTCTGTACGATTCTTGCCAGAGGTTGTTTGGATTCCAATCTGAACTCCGTGGACGAGGCCTATCAATCCCAGGGAATTCACAACTGCCGTAGAAAATATATAGGATCAACTTTTCGCATATTTTCGCGAAATTTGAGGCTTCCAAATCATGGGTTAATCATGTTCTTACTGAACATAATCTTCCTTTATTGTGCAACTCACATGCAAGAAGCAACTTCCATAAGTCGGATTGAAAACCAAGGCACACATCATGCACAAGTAAAACATGTGTATGTTCCAAGCAATGTTGTTTTATGGTAAATGAAGCTCCATTAGTTGACATGCTCGTCAAACTCTGATCAAGGGCCAACTTGATATATATATAATATATATATATCCAGCATTCAATTGGTGTGTGAAATAATTGTTTATTTCCACTGCCTTTCAGCAGTAAAATATTAGAGAAACTGTAAGTAAGAGCTTTCCAACCATGTTGTGCATTATTGTACCACTTTCCAAAAACGCCTCTGTTCATGCTCGATATCCTAGGGGCATCACCAAGTTAGTGAACCAAATGTGCAGGATCTTACATGTTTTCTGAGTTTTATTTGTACTTATTGAACCGAAACCCTACATTAGATGTATATGGGCATAAAATCCACTCTCGCTTCATATTTAAACCAAATATTTTCCAGTCTTCATCCCATGTTTTGAATTTGTGCTTCCGCGCCTCTACTTATCTGTTTCCAATGAACGGAATCAGCATTCATCTGGTCCAGACTACTGCACTTGGAAAGCGTAGTCGTATGATGGAAAATTTCGCGTACCAGCCGCTAGGTGGCCACAAAACGTACCACTGACAGAAAGCTTCCGCTAGTGAACCACGTGTGGGGAAATGACGGAAGTCGTGCACGTCCCGCGGGTCACGTTTACGCAACCATGCGCTCGGAGCGGGAGGTGAAGTCAGTCAGTGGTACACCGGAATTCCTGTCCTCGAGCTCTGGTACGAGGAGGACTCTCTCGCCCACACCGTTGCCCAGAGTGCGCGTATACGCTTATCGTCGGCCGGTTGTGAGAAGCAGTGTTCAGCTGAGCTCAGCCAGTTTCGTCGCGTAGTCCCGGACCATCGATCCCCTGACTCAGTTCCACGCATCTCAGCGACCCGCGATCTCCCGTGGTGTCTGAATAAGCCGCGTGACGTTCACATGATGGTCGACCATATAGCTTCGGTTTAGTGCGATCCGTCCTGAATCCATTCCGCGAGTCAGCAGTGGGGAATCAGTCATTCGTCGGGCGAAAGTGAGTTCCCCAGCGTGGTTCAAATGGCGTCATTCCGCGCCTTGATCGCCGGGTGCAAACGTGGATTTCGCAAGTGCGGTGGATTATTTGCGCGGATGTGCCACGACGTCACTGATGGAGCAGGAAAGCGCGAATCCTTTCCCTTCACGGCAGAGCGGAATTTTCGAACGCTTTCCGTGTGATTTCCCGCGAGGAGACGTGGTGTCGCTTGAAGGATGTGCACTTGACTGAAGAAGTCCGCCGCTTGACGTGTTGCAGGTGTCGGAAGACAAAAGCGTCAATTCAGTAGTGATTCGGTGTGTTGCTGAAATCCTTCTGTGAAACTCGCCATGGCTGCTTATCCGAGGGTAAGTGCACTATACTGTACAGTACTGTGCTATCTCATTTCTCTGCCTTTTCTCTGGAATTTATCAATGTCAAGGCGCGGGAATGTGGGTATGTAATGTAAATTACTGTAATTATAATCGTAATCAAGGATGCATAATTTGGTGGGCATATCCTGAAATCGGCTCAGGGAAAATACTTCATTTTCAAGATTTCCGCTTTCGTGTTTTGTGCGTCTCATGATTAGTCATTTTTCTTTTCAAAACTTCGTGCCCTTATCTTCGTCCTAATCTCGAGTGAATATTCGTCATTCACTTGTTGTGTTGATCTCGTATTGATACGATTCTGATGGAAGACGGCTGAATCTACCTCAAGAAAATGTCATGCGCAACCGGTTGCAAAGCCCTGTCCTATTTGAATCACTTCTGGCACAGGAGTCCGGAAACTTCTTCGGTGCATCTACAATGCTTACCTCCAGCAGTAGTCTTTTCACTTTTGATGTCGAAGTTTCTTTGATCTTTGTTTCTCGCACAGATCTTCGGATAAAAGTATTGGCGCCAGCCCTTGACTTCCTTGCTTCCGTCTTTGAATACCTCACCTGCATTGTGCATTGTCCCGTTTATCCGTTTTATCCGTGTGCTTTTGTTTGACCTTATCTCCTCATGCGTACAAGCACCAGCCAATAGCTGAGATAAACGGATCAATGCGTCTGTAGGCCACATTGTAGGCCGCATGGCAGTACAGTATAAGCCACACATGTTATGCAGCAATTTCATGAAAACAAACTGTCGAGGGCGTGAGAAAATGTTCGCTATCTCCGAGAGTAAAATAATGCCGGTAAGCAGGAATTGGATTTATTTTATCATAGCGTTGCAAACCAGGTTCCCCCACTCTGCATAAAGATGTTATTCCTTTTGAATAAATCTGGAGGACTCGGGAGGTTTCTAGCTGAACAACGCTCGATGTGTGTTTGTTTTTACCATTCTAAGATTGAAGAATTTTCTAGTTACATTCTTGATCCGATTAGGTATGAATCGGAAATGAAAAATTTATTTTAGACCACACTCCCGATGTCAGTGCGACCTGAACATGCATATGTGAAGAATTTGAGTCATCGAGGTTGTTTTTTTTTCATCACTTGAGTGGGACGTCATTACGGCCTGTAGTCGATTGAATGTAGTTCTGTACATTAAAGTACTGTATATCTGAAGTTTTCCTCACTTATTCGCCAATGATTCAGATTGAAGCATTGTACAGAGCTCGCTGGCTTCGTCGAGTATATTTGTTCTGTCTGCGACCGTCGACTGGAACGGTTCTGTATCCAGTAAACATGCAATGGGGAGAGGTATTTTTGTTGTTTGATCAGGACTGAACGCGTCTATGCGTGAAGTAAAATGCCCTTCTTGGGCCTGTTTTTACGCTCTTCGTAGCGACAGCTGTTATTATCCCTTCTCCAGAAAATATCCCGCTGCAAGTCCAAAGAACCACGTATTGATTTTTTTTTGGCACTGTACTGCCAACCAAATTCGTTCACCGCTTCCATAATTGTTCTTGAATTACTCTACGGGTTTCGGTTGCAGTTGTTCGCATTTTGACGAATCAGTTGTCACATTTTATTTCAGCTTCAATTATGACCCTAGATTTATTGTTGGGCTATTTTCACTTGAGCACTGATCTCAGCTTTTTGATATTGGCAACATGAATCGTGACTACTGTACATTGCTGTATCTCAAAAAATAGTTTACTTCATAATGGAACAAAAAATCTTGTAGTGTTGACATAAAAAAAATGAGCTGCGTTTATTTTTACACGTAAAAGTTTTTCTTGCGTCCAATCTATGTGGAAAGAAAACCGGATATGAAAATAAAATATGAATAGGAAGATATGGTTTATAAAATTAGTTCATGAAACTATGAACTAGTATTTTTTAATCCAAATCGAACCACTATACAGAAACCTCATGTGTATTCTTTGCAGCCTATATTCTAGGTGGACGTTTCTTTCATCACTAAACCGCACGAATTAAAGTCAACCCTTATGCTTAAATGAGATTTACAGTATTCCTGATCCCTAAATTATCCGTGATATTGAAATTCAAATGCATGCGTTTCAATGACGTACAATGTGTGCAGTTCTCCACGGATGATGGAGAACCGTAATTTTCCAATTTTTGAACATGAACGAATCTTATATAAGCGATACATGTTGATTCCAAACCGAGCTTTTTGTCCAGCATCGACCTTCTTAAAAATATATCTTCATGATGCAGTATCTTGGATGGGGCTTCAACTATATGTTGCCAGAAACACATGGATGTCTTGTTCCGCCTTGGAAATTTCGGAAGTTCAGAAGAGAACTCTTTCGAATACAGTTATAGAAGATGTGTGAACTTTCTAGTGTTGGAATAAACTCATTTACTTCGGATTTTCAGGGAACAATCACTCCTGCGAGAAACTTTGACGCCGAAGGTCTTTGCAATCGACTTCGCAAGGCGATGAAGGGCCTCGGAACGGATGAGAAAGCGATTATCGACATTCTGTCGCACGTCGACAATCGTCAGCGCCAAGAGCTGAAGCACAAGTTTAAAGCCATGTTCGGAAAGGTACGACTGAATCGAAAAATCGTTGGAGCCGAATCGTTCATCATATGTCCATTTTGATCGACCTGCAGGATCTCGTTGACGAATTGAAGAGTGAGCTTGGGGGGAATTTCGAGAGCGTCGTTCTGGCACTGATGGAACCACCGTTGGAGTACTTGGTCTCTTGGCTCAACCGAGCGATGAAGGTGAGCTCTTGCGAAATTCGACGGCTGCGCGTCAAGTTTAATTGCTTGTTCATTTCTCAGGGCCTTGGAACCAATGAATATGCGCTGATCGAAATTCTGTGCGGCCGACCGAACCAAGAAATCATGCTGCTGAAACAAGCCTTCCGCGCAAGTGAGTTTTCAGTTATCAATTCACATGCCTTATCGGAGCGTTTTTATCGCTGCGGAGTTTTATAAAAGTATTTTAATCGTTTTTTTTCGCCACTGAAATCGAAGATACTTTAATCAGCTGTGCGCGTTCCGCGTCGGATGTAATCTCATACGCATATTGTTTTGAAAGCATATAATCCGGCCCTGGAGAGTCTTTGTCTTCCGAAATTTCTCAACTGTCACCGGAAATTAGATCATGAAGCAGAATCTTGATTATTCATGAGTCGATCAGTCATCTCAGAAGTTCGAGGCAATTTTTTGGAAACTAAGATACTGTACAATGTCTACTTTTTCTCTACACCTAAATTTGAATTTTAGGCCCTCTATTTCCCTCAGAGCTATTCGCGTTGTTTTAAAAGAAAATTCATCTAAAATTTAAATAATGGCCTCTCCCTCTCTTGTATACCATTCTTGCCGTTTTACGTCGGATCATCGTAGAATATATAGCTTTTTAATCCTTGACTCAGTTGACTCCTGGAGTGATATTTCTGTAATAGATTATCTGACACGTGATTATCCGTAAAAAGAACGTCAACACGGTAATTTGCCCAGATCATCGAGCTATGAGCTTCTACGATATTCTTCCTGGAGAAAACCGACAATAGAATATAATGTACTTGACTAAGCTGTTTCATTCCCGCCAACAACAAAAACTCATTATATTGTTACTTTACTTAGGAATGTACATATTTTCTCATGAGCATGACGGAAGCGTTCGTAAAGTAAAATACTGTACTTCTTATTTCCTCTCGAAGTAAATTCGTTATTCATTTTCCTTTTCGTAGGTTAATTGATTAGTTTGAATCGATTTCGTTGATACTGAATCACATCATACTTATGCATGACAATAATTTTTTTGTTAGATGGTATGCAAACATAGTGACACCTTGAGTATCTGAGCTAACCAAGAGGTTTATTTTTTTAAATTATGGATGTTTTCTTGAACTTGGAATGATCGTGATGAACATTCTCATCAATTTAAAGGCATCTGAAGAATGCCTTGCTTTGATCAAACCTATCTAAACTTTAATTTCAGAGGCCTTTGATTTGTTATTTTCGGGACTCAGGAAGGATAAAAGCATTAAAAATGTAACGATGCTTTTCAGGAAAAAGTGAATACCTAATTGAAAAAATTTAACTATTGCCTCCAATTTTAGCCTCCTGTCAACTTGACATTCTAAAAGCCCAAAAGATGCTAATTTTATCCTCCTTTAATTTTTCCTCATTTTTTTATCGCACAAAAATGCCTAGTTCTCCTAACTCATAAAAGCATTGAGTCGATTATTGGGTCCCTCTCAGTTCGATTTGAAATGCTTTGACTTACCGTACTTCTTTGTTTTTCTCCACTTTTAGTGTTCGGCAAGGATTTGGACCATGAGCTCAAGAAAGAACTCAGCGGGGACTTCGAATACCTGATGAGATCCACGGTAGCTGGTGCTCGAGATGAAAATCCGCAGGTGGATTTTGCGCAAGCCCAACACGACGCTCAGGTGCTGAAGCGCTTGCCTCATGTTGCCAAAATCCGACACGCTCTTAAACCCGGGTTTTCGTTCTTTCAGGCGCTGTACCAAGCTGGCGTTGGGAAGAACTTCGGTACTGACGAATCCACATTCATCACCGTTCTCAACGTGCGGTCGTACAACCAGCTCCGAGAGATCTTCTCTGCGTATCACCGCTTCGCCCAGCATACGATTGAGGAAGCCATAAAGAAGGAATTATCTGGAGCTTTCCGAGACGGAATGCTTGCGATTGGTAAGAATAGTGTCCAGACTGTGAATCAGCTCAACTTCCGGGAAGACATTTCGCAGAAATGTTTTCTCAGACTTCGAAATGTACCCGGGGAGGTTGAAGAACATTCCAAGAAAAATCGAATGAGTGATGCTTCGATAAAAAATTTTCTGTTTTAGAAACATTCCACGTTTTTTTTTTTCAAGCACACGAAAAATAGGTGTACAGGACGTCATTCACATATGAAGCTAACCAAAAAAGTGCAACGAAGCAAAAATGCTCCGCCAGCTTTCTTTTTATGGCTGTTCAGTAAAACGGCAATTTCAATGCACGAAGAATTGATGCTTCAGATCGCACTTGTGGAAAAAGCTTCTTCAATTATCCGAAGAGTATTCAGAATAGAAATTCGTAATTCCAAGGTACTGTATTATTCGTTTATTCAAGAGCGATAAAATGTTCAACTTGGTAAATTTATATGACTGCAGAATATTTTTGACGAGAATTCCTCCAACGGTTTTCGTTAAATTTGATGATATCCGCACGTGGCATTGATACGTTAGGAGCTCTTTTTTTAAATATCAAAATCACTGTACTGCATGTCATCCCATTTACAATCATCGAAAGTCTGCTTTAGTAAATGCACTCAAAATATAAATGCACGCAATACATTTAAAATAACATTCGAATCCGCATTTCCTATGTGCGTGAGCGTTTTATGAGATCTAGCTTGATCAAATTTTTTCCGCTGCAATCACCGGAGATTTATTTCCTTTATTTCAGTGCAAAGGGTTCAAGATCCACCTACATATTTCGCTTCGAGGCTTTACACCAGCATGAAGGGAGCAGGCACAGATGATGGCACTCTGATTCGTGTCGTTGTTTCTCGATCAGAAGTAAGTAATGTAACACAAGATCATTATTTTTTCCATTTTTCAGTAAACCTGATGTCATCTTTGTCTGGATTTTGAATTACTGTATTTTGAAATCTCATCGGCGCGCTGCAACGCTTCAGTCGTTCAAATTCTTAAATATGGCGATTTTGAACATTTCTTAGCTCGATTTGGCTGAAATCAAGCAGCGGTTCCAGCAAATGTACGGCGTTTCTCTCGGAGATATGATCAAAAACGACACCAAAGGAGATTACAGGAAGATGTTGATGGCAATCGTGGACCCGGAGTGAGGCACGATGCCAAAGCTGGTCACGAACGATCCATCATTTTGTTCGCTTGTATTTGATACCGTAACCCTTGCGTTACTACACTGGAAGAGTTCGATGTTCAGAAATTGGTTTCATTGTGCATGTTGGATTCCGTGTAATAGTTTCTTTCTTGTTCGAATATTTCTCCCGTCTACAATGCTTAATTTATCGTCCCACAATTATTTCTGTCGCTTCCGCCGGGACCGTCTCGGTGGTTTATTGTCTTTTACCTTGCAGATGTATATGCATTGCATGCTGAAATAAAGCAAAGCTTGTCAAAATTGGAAATACGGGGCAGACATTTTTCTTCTGCTTCAAATATTTTGCAACTTCTTTAGAAAATTAAATCGTAACCTTAGATAAAATTGCAATGAAGGTTTGTCGGAACGGAGGAGGTAGAGCTTCTTTCAGGTTTTTGCGAGTGACACCTAGGTAAGGCAAAATCAATTTTGCAATCTATACTTTCTTCCTTTTCATCGATGTCGCATCTTTCGCTCAGTCGAATGCGTTCCCACCGTCTTTTGAACCTTCCATCGATCGATGCAGACGGTTCATGAGGCAGATTACTTGCACAAGAAGGGTCGAGAACCATCCATATTTCTCGACACAGTTGAAAAGAAGCTGTTCCAGGAAGAACGGAACTCCTGCGACCAATTCACTGATGGGCGAGTCATCGCCAATCGCTTCTTCCAAGGACAGTCATCAACTATTCCGGGAATTCGCCAGCAGTCCAAGATGCTGCCTCGTGGAACGGAAAAGTGGGAGCGGAGTACACCGGCGCAACCCTGAATCTTCGCATGCTTAGTTCAAGTTAAGCCAGTAAGAAAAAAAGGGGTCGTAAGACTTCCGCAGAGCCCCGCCACCAGCAGTGTTTATAAGCAGTGTCGAAACTCTCGGCGCGCTTCACATTGTACCCAGCGTTCGTGCCTGGTGCTGGCGTCGTAGAAGTAAAAAAAAAAAAAAGTGATACTCTGGTTTCGAGATATTCAGGCAACGCTCTACTATTCACCTCGGACTCTGCTGAACATCGTGTTTTAATTTGTTTCTATAGGCTCACTCATTTGCAAGACGAACCATTTGACGCGTGAACTGATACAGTGGCGGGAGGTTACTTGTGGCTGAAATATATCACGATGGGTTGTAATTTCGGAGTCATTTGCCGTCCCAACGGCTTCCTGAAAATCGTCGAAATCGTAAGTACTATTTCTTTCGTTTCTGCGTCAGCGGAAATATTGTATGGGGCCATGGTGACCAGCGTTCTTGTAGATTATTAGTTTCGGTACTCGAGGAAGTGCATTTGAAGACATAGGTCTGTAGGTATTCCTTGAACTTCTTCATTTCTCGCGTAGAAAAGGTACACATTTTCTAAGTACAGTATTTGCTTGCTTTCGTAAATCAAATGAGCAGAAGAAATGAAATGAAAACGAGCTGACTAAAACTTCGTGTCATGCCTTCGCTCGTTTTCGGGATGAAGGCACTAAAACGTGAAAAGGTAAAATTAAGATGAGCCGTTCGTTGATTCCGCGTATTTCTGCTCAGGGATGTTGAAGAGGCGTTTCTCATTTAACCCTTACACTGAGAATGAGGGTGTGGCGGAATAAGAATCCTCGCGTCGATGTTATTTTCAGTTCCCATAATTTTTATCGGACTGAATCGTCGGAATGCCACTCCCTGCAACGTTGATTAGTCATCCCTTGGAAACCAGCTGTTTGTTTGTTCGTCCGTGACGTCGGTTCGGATAGGTGTAAGTTTCGTGAAGTCGTTCTCTTCAACGTACTGAACCCGAAGGGAACAAGAGTTCAGTATTCCTACATTCGTTTGAAATTGGGGAGTCGCACGTATTTTTCATTTTTTTGTGGATTCTACATGGAACTCGGAATTGGTTATTAATGTTTTTTTAGGATAATAGTAGTACAGAAGGCTGTTGCATTGGTCGCACATTTTGTTTTCGAGTCTCGCAATTCCATAACTGGAAATTCTCAACAGGTCGGAGATTTGATGATGGAAACGCTCAACTCTGGCCTATTTTAATGCGAGTCCCATGTTTGGTGTTAGACTCGTAAAAATAAATCGGATCTCAAATTGGACTGTTTCATTGTTAATAGCGTTTAAAAGTTGATTTAGGTGTAAATGGCAGCGTTTCGCCGTCCGCTGTTTTTGCGTGTGGATTGCTGTTTTTTCAGACTCTAGAACGGAAATTTTAACGCATTTTGATGTTCTACTTACCGCTGACTTCATGATCAATTTTTTGAGAATTTCAACTTGACAGACAGCCCTATTATGAGATGCTGTGACCAACATGTGTCGTATCGAGAGATTTTCTGTTTTTTTTTTCGACGTACTTCTCGATGAAAATTGCCAGTGTTTCTGCCCTCCCGTTCGAAAAAAGTGCGTAATTATTTCACTGGGAAGGAAATCGAAGGAAATACTGTATCTGCCCTCCAGCTTGGAAGAATCACTGTAATTATTTCATGAGGTAGGAAAGAGAAGAAACCATCTGGATTTGTCTTTGGCACGAATCGATTTTACCAGGAACCACGATGAACAAGGATGTAGGGGACCAAGAACGTGGATAAAGGGTTATCATCGGCATCTCCGTTATTTTTTCCGAGTAGTGGAACGGAAAGTTCGGAGAAATTGATCGAAATCTCTAACTTATGAAGAAGGACGTGTCCGCGAGATTTCAGAGATTTCATGGCTTCCCCGAGTCCCCCAGCTCTGAACGGATTTCGACATGCCTTCAGAATTTCGGTGGTTTTTCTCCCAAGACGCATATAAATTCTCCAAAACTGCAATTAGAGCCCGAGACATAAAAGAGAGAAATCGACGCAATCCGGGTATCCAGGGAACTCTGCGGCGTAGAAAACGTGTAATTCCGCCGAGGAATTCCGGTACGTGGGTTGGTGAATAGTCGCGCGCACCTTCAAGGCCCGGCGTGGCGTAGTGGGGAGAAGGAAAGAGAGAGAGGGAAGAAAACTTAACTGCGTAGTAGTAGTAGTAGTAGTGTGGCTCGGCATACGGCGTGGAACTCACGCGAGGTCTCCGCCGGTGCCTGTCTGCGCCGCCGCCGTTGCCGCCACGGCGAACGATCAGAACGAATGACCGCCACGACTCGGAGGAAACATCACGAAGTTCCGCTCTTGTAGTATGCCTGGAATAAAATTCCGAAATTTAGATGTGACCCGATTTCTCTAGCCTCGGCCACGTCCCAACTCGTGCTACCCCTTTTTTCCGTTTCCGTATTTTAAAACTGATAATTGAGTACAGTAATTGTACCAGTAATTTTGGAGCTGCGTAGAGTAAGTGTAGAATACACGATACACGAAATGGAACTGATTGTTTTTTTTTTTTGTGCTGGCTCTCTTGACGAGATTTCAGGGGGCCTGAGCAACAAAATTCTACGTTCCCTCCAGTAAGCGCATTATATTCCTTGTCCAGAAAATTATGCCGGTAGAGGAGCTGCGTGTAAATCCTTCATCAGAACATAAATGGAGAGATTAATGAGAAAAATCATCGGGGAACAGTGTTTTGAACGAAAATTACAAAGATGCGAACGAATTCCTCGTCCTTGGCATGTGTAAATGCATGTCTTGCTGATCTTACGCGGCAATCCGGCGAGAATGACGAAAGAGCGGAATTTGCCATCATGGGTCGAGAAGTTTCGCGAAAGACCCAAGTGGCGTCCTTCCAATGCCTGCGGCAATCCCCCCCCCCCCCCTCTCTCTCTCTCTCTCTCTCTGTCTCTGGGCGCTTACTGAGCACCGTGTTTTTCCGGTATCGGGGAACGGCACGGGAAAAATAAAGCTATCCTTGTACAAGCGAAAATTGCGCCGCATCCGGAGGGTTGTCCTCGAGTGTCCCGGGTTTCATTGATGAGCGCCTCTTACGTGCCTGCTGTACAGCTTTTAGCCATTTCATCCCCGTAATTGATGGAATTCTGACGAAATTAATTCACTTGGGCAAGCCGAAGGATGCAAAAATGCTCGAAGTTTGATCCCCCCGACGCGGAAGTGGAAGATGGCGTCTTGAATTCGCTTCGAAAGCTCCTGGAAACGTGGAAGCGAGTTTGGTGTGAAGCCTGGTGGTGAATGTCACCAGGCACCCAGGATTCAGGCGAAGGAGAAGCAATTACTGTACACTGCTAGTTGCCAAGGAAAACGAAGCCCGTGGGCTGAAGATATCGTTCCTGAGACTCAGATATCATTCCTGAGACTCAGATATCATTAATTCATGTTTTTACTGATGGTTCTCGGAAGCTTTCTTGGGGAATCTCGAATATGAGGACTTTTTATGCGCGTGCGTACTGTATATTTCTTGGACTCCTGAAATTCACTGAAGCTGGTCACTTCCAAGGTATGAGATGTGATAGAATTAATTCCATGAAAAGAGCGGTGAAGTTGGTGATACGGGGGTTTTAAAAAAAAGGGCTGTGCATTCCTCAGAATCATTGCAACATCGGAGTTCGAGGAAAAATCTGCGTTATTTTCCATCGTCTCTTATCCTCGTGCATCACTTGGCCATGTTGGAAGTGATGAAAGGTCATCTGCTGGAATAATGAAGCCGAAATCCCACGCCTCTCACATTTCACGGACTTTTTTGATTTTTGCATGGTTTATCTATCTATCCCTTCGTGGTTCAAGAATATTTCTGGCCAACCAGGTGGAAAGCTATTACGAAAAGAGCCCATGATTATTCCTGAACTGACCCTAAATGACGAGTCCGCATGGCATTACTTATTGTATGCTATGAGACTTTCGGGACATCCCCTAATTCTAGTGGCAGGAGTTTGAAAAATTGGTGAGTTCATTCGACACCCGTTTGCTTGGGTACTTGTAATCCGCGTTCCCATCCGCCCCGCAGTTGCGTATTGTACTCGACTACTCGAGTTACGTTGTTTCGGTGTTGAGATGTCATGTGTTTGCGTACTGTACTTGAAATTCGTTGTTTCTGTACTCAGGTACTTGGTTTGATCTGCATGATCTTGCTGCGAGCGTACAACATCGACTGGGGTCAAGGCGATGCCCTCACTGGCCTGGACAGGCGTCTCATGGGCATCACGACGATCGGTGGTATGTTGCTCGTCACGATCCCACTCCTCATCTCCTACATGATCAACGATACGGGCCTGGAGAAGAGCACGCTTGTGAGTATCCTTCCCACTTTTGTCTGACGAGATCTATAAATAGATTTCTTCCGACGAAAACTCCCCACCTTGCTGAACAGCGAAGTTAAAAAGTCCCGACTCTCGGAATGATCGCGCCCGAAAAATCGCGCGATGAGAGACCGCCAGGTTCACATCTCATCCATGGATTTACGTCATCGACATCAAGTTCGCCGGGAAAAAACCTCTAAAATGGTTGAGGCATCGGATGTTGAATTGAACTAATTCACTCTTCTTAACCAGCACTGCATGCTACTAATTTCTTGCTTTGTAATTGCTTGGCGACTGTTGGCAGCAGCAGAAGATTTGTTTTTATGAATGCTTGTGATTTTCAACAAATACTACCTTGATTCAGTGATTACTCTGATCGTTCTCGCTTGTCCCATACTTCGTTGAAGATTTTTTTTTTTTACATGCGCCTCTTTCTATCCGCCGAATTCCGAGCTGATGAAGAAGACTCATTATGGAATAGAGTACAGTACTTTCTTCTGGTTCGGTGTGACATCTACCGTGAAAAGTTCAACTAACTCGTGAATTTTACCACCAAATCTTGCATATAAAACCCCGATTACTGTACTTCAATGTGCCACGTAGGACTTCTGATGGAAATTTTAAACTACTGTACAATTTTGTAATAATGACTATGCCAAGATCTTGAACTTGCTAAACCTGGTTTCTGAAATAGTTTTTAATGCTTCTTTTACTTTCTCTCGGAGCCCCAATTTTTTTCAATTTTGAAATTAGAATCTTAGCAGAACTGCTGTCATTTCCGGATCAAGAATGATCCCCTTTTTCTATTACTGTATAATCGCTAAATGCTCTGAAAGGAAATTAAAATCGCTGCGTCTTCATCTTGCAAAAAGTGAACGTGTTCTCTACTTAAGCCGGTTATGTTCGCATAGTTGGGAATAAGTTTCCTTGGCATTTAAGAAGAACGCTCTAGACATCTTCAAGGGAGTTCAAGAAACACAAATGTTGAAAAGACCTATGCTAGGTAGTACCTAAAGTAGCGAAGTTTGTTCTGCTGTTGCCGAAAGTTGCTTATGCTTTTAACCCGTAAACTTCTTAATAGAAAATCGTTTCATCCGTCTGCAGTTTCCATAACGGATAATCTGCCCTGGCGGAAAGGGAGCCTGGGATTTTTCGGGAGCGATCTGACATTTGTACATTAACATTAACATGCACTTGAATTAACTGTGGTGGGATGCGTCACTGTCCTGGAGCTGGTTTTGCGCATTTTTTACAGCGTGACGCGGAACGTGAGCGGAGTGTCGAGGCACGTCCGCGTCACGCTTCTCCCGATCGGATGAGACCAGAGGAGGCCGAACACCAGGCGTTGTTGGGACGCTGGGCTCCGTTTAACCCGTCCATTCGGGATCGACACCTCACCTTGGTAGCCTCGATCAGCGTGTCGTCGAATTAGCTAACTTGGCTCATTTTCAAACAATACATGTCCTGAGAGAGGAGAAAGCGCATGGGATGCGAAAGAGAAAATTTCATGATAAGTAAAAGCCGCGGAAGATGCAGTTTCTGTAATTTTTCTTCAAATTTTTAGTCAAATATTTTTCTGATTTTCAAGGTCATCTTTGACGAAAGGCGTTCTCCCTTTCGAAATTTCATTTTTCCTTTCGATGCGTTTTCCTCTTACTTCGTATTGATTTTTCTTGTCATATGGTCTCTCAATGACCTTTTCCATCCATGGCAATATCCTTGTGACATTTTCTTCGCTGGCATTGTTTTTCTATCCGTTTTTCCACGCTTGCCCCCCCCCCCTCCCGGCATTTAGCATAGCGCTGAACTACACCCACTAAGAAGTCGTGATGAATTTGTAGACGGATTCGGTAAAAATTTTCTTAAATCACAATTTTCTTGCGTCTCGTGAGTCGTGACTGAGTAACTTTTTTTTTTACGATTGAGAATCTAAACAATTTCAGACTCGTGGAAAAAGTGGACGCCATGTATTCGAGTCTCCTAATTAGACTTAACTGCTGAGAAACTTAGATTGCCTCAAAAATACTTATGCGGTTTTATCTGATTATCCTCTCGTGGCGTAGAAAGCTTTACCCTGCGCAGCTGGCAGAAATTTGAAGGACCGGAAACGTTGCGGTTGTGGTGACGAGTAATCACGCATCATTTTCAGAATGAAAAAATAGAACGGGTAGGGTTTTGTTGGGAGATTGGAGGCGCCGATTACGTGAGAGCAATTTTAGAAGGTATCCCAGGTATTCTCAGATGATTCTAGCATTGAAAAATAAAAGCTTGTTTGTCGGCTAGCCAGTGAAGGTCTCTGAGGCCGATTAAATGCGAGTAGTTTTTCTGTGATTCTGGAGAATTCGACCTTGTCATGTTTTCGACAATTAAGCCGGTAGTAATTCGATTGAAAACGGAAAGCACGGGTAAATGCAATCCAAAACCTTGCCGTATGCTCCGCTGACTTAAGCGAAACATTTTCTAGAAGATTTACAAGCTGTGTTAACCTTTCAAGGGAGTTCGCAGGTCAGAGTTTCTGGGAAGATATGAATTTTCTTTATCTCGCACTGTTCTGACGAGGTTTTGACTAAAGTTTACCTTTAACTCTACTGCGAATAATTACTGTGCGTGAACTGAGGAGAAGCAATACATAATGGGTAATAGGCCCATTCCGAAATTTAATGTTTCCATTGATGGCTTATTATGACTTGATGCCCGAAGCGGTGATTTTTTTTCTTGGGTGAAGCTGTTGCGCACATCTTCCTGATCAACGTTCTCAGAGGTCTGGGTTCAAGGCAAGATAGGCTATGAACTTTCGAACTCGAATTTTTCCTTGGAATAAGAGATGTATTCATGAAACCCCGCCTTGAATTTTCATATTTTAGACTGAATCCCTGAATCGCACCGTTCGAGATGTAATTAAAAATAATAGTTTCAAGGTTTTTTTTGCCCGTTAATAGAACCGGTGCGTCAAAAAAAAAAATGTTGCCCTCTTCTTGATCGTTGGACGGGGAACGAATCTCAGGTGGATTCATGTGACATAAAGTACTCTCGCAATGCGTGCGAATTGTATACGACCGTACAACTCGGATTTTGAGTTGAGAATATGATCATTCTTCGCTTAGAACGCCCTTTGGAAACATCACTTAAGTCGAAATTTACCGGACGTTTCCTCCCCCCCCCCCCCCCGACAATTTTCCGTCGAGTAAAATGCAGGAGGCGCGTAGATGGTGAGATATCCCTTTAATTTCAGGAATTTATTCAAAACACTGTCGGTGCGATCCTGTACCTCGCAACCGGAGCGATGGCCATCGACACCTACAGAGAACTGCCCAAATCTGAGCTTCGAAACGTCGGACTGGCTCTTGGGGTAAGGATCTTTTATTATTCCACGAAAATTTCAGGGAGGTCTGCTAGGCGCTAAAATCATCAAGGTTTTTTAAACGTGATGTCTTCGTATATCTTTCAGGCGCTCTCGTTGGTGAACTCTGCCGCTTACGCAGTTGATGCGTTCTTCGCCTTCAAGAACAAGCGAGGAGTTTGAACTGATGTCGAGGTCTTCCGAAATCATCCAGGATAACTGATACCTTCGCCGTCGATCAAATTATTCGGAGTTTGTTTTCGTTAACGCGAACGCTTCTTTGCTTAGTTGGCTTTTTTTTTTTAGAACTACGTAACAGCTTCCATTTCGGATGTACAGAACTGAGGGCTAAGATTCGCAGTCTTGACCCTAATTTCATGTTTCGCGGTTTTAAGGAGTGCACCAGCTTTCGTGGCTTCGCTCGACGCCTTTGTTGAATGTGCATTGAAAGCTTTTTTTATGTAGACGCAAGCAAACTTGCGAAGTACAACTTTTTGAGAAGCCGCCATTTTACGGAAATATTCAAAAAAGTATTCTTACCGGACCTCGCAACGAAATATTTTATTTTTTTTTAATATCCTGTACAGCTTGGAAGCGATGTATTGTTACTCATGGAAAAAATCTCGCAGAAAGCCGCATTTTATGTACAGAATTTCGCTTTTCATCAAAGCTTGCACCAGGTATTTTCTGTGTGGATAAATGGTGGTGTTTTAGTGATGTTCAGGTGTATTTGCATCATTGATCAGGAATCTCGTGCCTCTCTCGAAACTTTCTCGAAATCTGTGTTGAAACTAAATAATAAAATGCGTTTGGTGCATGAATTACGTGTTCCTTTTTTTCCTGCTTACAAAACACAAATTCGCATGCGATTACTGATTTATCATTGTGAAATTCAGTGGAAGCTTTCATCATCTATATGAACTTTCTGCAAGTTTATGAACAAATTTTGTCCAGCTTTTCTCGCATACTGGGAGATTCATCCTGTTGATATAAATTTGCGATATATCGTGATCACTTGTACAGGTTGTTCGACAGTTCACATGTTAGGGAGATGTCTTTCTGTTCTCAAATCGAATGTAAATTTGATAATGACGTAAATTTGAGGTGTGGGAAAGAAGTACGGTATATTTTTATGAATACATGGCCAGTTAAATTCAATGGTGCTTTGCAAGTTCTCTGGATATAGACGACTATGATGGATATTTACCTGGAATGTAAAAATTGTCCAGGGGAACGCTGATGGAGCATCTTATGAAAAGAAGACATCTACGAAAATGTAGTGTACTAAAAATACCTTACTGGCGATTGTCTAAGTACCTAGCATCTTGTGAAGTAATTCCTCATGTAAGAGGAATGTCAATAGGTTGGTTTTGCCTTTGTCCTGAGGAAAATTATAATCGTGATTAGTGCCGCTGGAAAATTCCCCGTTTTTTTGCTAGGCAGCTTATTGACGAGCGATCAAATTCCACTGGGTCTGATGCTCTCGTGTAGCTGGAAGTCAGTAAAATGACCGTAGTCACTTAAAAATGTCCAGTGCTGAAAAAATAATGCATTCTGATAGACTGGTCATTTTATCAAATGAAATCCTGCTGTTGTCTACGGTTTTACGTTCGATCTTCCGTTTGAATGCGACATCGGACGCAAGTCTGGACTACATTCTAGAATTATACTGTATTCCCACTGCAGTTGAACCTTGAATACAGTACTCTACTCATCGGGACGAACATCATTTATAAGATGCTGAGTAGAATTTTAATTCCACCAACTGGACTTGTTCTGAAGATCATTTGACTTCAAACTTTACGCTGTGAATTCGTCTTCTCAACATTATACAGTATTTTGAAGTCTTCAGAAATTCAAGGGCCTAATTGCATCTATAGTGTACAGTACAGTGTATACCACCTCCCCTCCATCTTGCATTTGATTATTTTCTTCTGACTGAGTTGATAGCTTGCATCCTGTAGATTTATCTCGTTTTTACTATACAGTATATTAATTTTCAAATATCTGTATTTTTCTGCGCAGAAGGGAATGAACAATTCTGTATAAATTACTAAAGCTAATTTTGCCGAACATGCAGTGCTCTGGCACAACGAAGGAGTCAGCTCGCTACAGCTCTGATGTTCGCTGCGTTACTCCAGTGAGAACTCCTCTAAGTGGACCAGAAAATGACTGACTAAATTTTCACTTTTTCTTATATTACAAATAAGCCATTTTTTGAATTTTATACTGTATTGGAAATTTCGCTCCAGAAAAGAGATACAGATGATGCGCTCGTGGTTCTCATCATGCCACATGTATAATCAGCGCACGTAATCGAACAAACGTGGAAAATTTTCTACATGATTCCTCCGAAGTGCTGACCAATGAGAAGATGGAAAGGTATTGATGGAATAGTTCAGAGTGTCAGTCATTCACGCAGAAATCGTGTACTGTATTGCTTAGATGGACATGGAAGGCTTATGCTTGATCAGCAGGAATGTTTCCGGAATTTTCCGACACTATTTTGAAATGACGGCTGCGAGAAAAAGTATTGCTGTTATTTAAACATGCAGCCGTCTGTCTCATCAGTTCAACTTTCTCTCGTTCGAGAGAGAAAAACACCGGGTTAATCATGATTGCATTTTTGATATTTTGAAATGACGGCTGCGAGAAAAAGTATTGCTGTTATTTAAACATGCAGCCGTCTGTCTCATCAGTTCAACTTTCTCTCGTTCGAGAGAGAAAAACACCGGGTTAATCATGATTGCATTTTTGGGCACTTATTCAATGGTTCCACGGAAAAGTATTAAAGTACAGTACATGGAAACTATAATTCAATTACGTGGCATTTGCCAGCGATTCAGTAATCGTTATGTGCTGTTTCGTATGAACATTCGTAAGATCTGATAACTCCGCTTGTTATGCTTAGCTTAAGATGGCTTCCTGTAAGCCGGCTTCATCAAAGTTCGACATTCAGAATGACATTTCAGGCTTATGCAGTACCGTAAAATGATTTCTTCGAAATCTTTTCTGCTGAAATATAAAACCTCTAGAAAATTTGAAATATAAACTGCTTAGAGGCGAAAAAGCAAGATTATTCTGACAGCAGAATCTGGCTTCCCAATTTGAGGTATGTTTTATTCAAATCCACATGATGATGTTGTCTGTGAAAATAAACTCGACAGAAATATGATTTAAAAATTTAATGAGCATGCATTAGTAAACGTATCGTATGTTCAAGCAGGTTTGTGATAAAATTACGGTACTTCTCATGCATTTACGCCATAGGTTCTTTTTGCATAGTGAAGAAAAGCATGAGGGAGGGTGGATATTTTCAAGGCAATTGTATCGGCTTGGATGAGAACTCGGGCCATTTTATGCTGTACAATGCAATGTTTTTTCCTCCGTGATTTTCAATTATCCAGAATGCATACTGCCTGGCATTAGCCAGGTTATTCCAGCGTGCGATGAAAATGGGGATGATGAAGGATTTCATGGATTAAGCGGAGTTACGTACCCGCATGATACATTATTAGTCACTCTGTCTTGCGATTGTGATGATTGTTAATTTTTCAGAATTCCCCGAATTTTCTGATGCTTGATGAAATCGCCGTTTCTGCGGAATTCGACGCCCTTTTCCTTCAAAATCGATGTATTTTTGTATACTTGGGATTCTGTAAAATTTTATTTGGCATAACCACCGATAATTTAAATTTTAATTCATAGTTATCTGAATGTTCTAGCTAATAAAAATGTTCTCTAAACCTCCGCAGTTCCACATTGAAGCGAGGACGTTGAAGAGCTTGGAGGAATGTTACTTGTTGGTTCTTGCTTGTTAGTACACACTACTGTGTTCTCTGAAGCATCACATACCCAATTATATTCCATTTTCATCAACGTCAAACAGGTGTCGCTCTCCTGAAATCTTCACTGTTTCCAGCTCAATATGTGTACAGTACTGTGTTGTGTGAGTGTGCTGTGTTTGTATACAGTACTTGAGTCGGCTGATGCATGGGGTGGTTATCTTTGATGCATATTTTACATCCACTCAACAAGTCATGCTTATAATTGCTGATGAGGCGAAGCAAGTGTGCAGGGTATGATTCAACTTCTGAAAATTTAGAAACTGCCGTAGTCACGTCTTCATTTATACAAGTGATACCAGTTCTTGGAAATTAGGGTTTGAAAGGGCGATATGCATTTGTCCCATTAAGCTGAAGACTCGTCCCAAATCTTGGGCGACAGTTTGGAGGATTATTCTTGCAAATCATAAGATTTCCAAAAATTCTGATCAGTTTATGCTCTTGATTCGTTGCGAGTGTGTTCCATCAATACCAACAATTTTGCGTTGAACGAATAAGGGAACCGTTCACTTCTGCTGCTGAGTGATTTTTTCCAACTTGAACATTTCATCATAATTTTCTGAATTTTATCTTAATCCTTCGAAGCATGAGGTAACTTCATCTAAATCGCAACTTTGTGATCTCAAGAAACTATTCTGGATTCACCCAGTTTATCTGAATCCTCATCTGTTTCACTTTGATTCTTGTTTACATTCCTCTCTCAGTTAGGAGGAAGAAGTGGCATTGGAGGTTCTTCATGCATTGCAAACTGTTAAGTTGAGACCCATTCCCTTCAAACTTTGGCCATAACATTGCTTTCAAGGTTTGGGTAGTGGATAAATAAGGTCTGAGGAAGAAACATCTGCACCAACTTGCCCAAAATTGTGTGCATACTATGGCTGACCTCTGTTGATGATCGAAAAGGTTATAATTGATCATCAACGCCAGGGAATTATATTGAAGCATTTATATCTGGAATACTGTGAACAATTTTACATGGTTTTAAACGTAGAATGACAAATTTTTTGCGGACGCAGTTCCCCGAGTTCGAGTAAATGTGACATCTGCTACCTAGGGTACAATGTTTGTTTACAGTAGTACAGTACTTGGTCTCTTTCCGCGCGTATACAAGGAAATCAATCTTCATGCAGCGAGACAAACACTCCGATAATTCCGTTCAGAGCGCATTAAAAATGCAGCAAAGGTACTTAACGGTGCGATGCGACCACGGTACATCAAGGTCAAAATCCATCATTTCTTTGAAACAAGGAAAAAAACACGCGCAAATACAATATTCTACAAGTACAGTACGTCCCTTCTGCGACACATTCAGCGATCGTCTCCCATTTCCCAACGTTCTATCGTTGAAATCTGCTGACACGCTTTATTCCAGTTTTATTCATAAAATAATCATGAGGTTTAAGATCAAGTGTAAGATATTCATGAACAAACTGCGTTTTTGAAAATTTCAGCATTTTTGTCCCTGAACGAGTAGCATACAGCCCTCAACCCGGCCATCAGCAGAGAATCCGTTTCGCCTTTCAGGCATCAAATAGAAACTTTTTTTTTTCCGCCGTAACGAAATACCGAAATTGACAACGCGCACATTTCTACCAGAAGTGTACTGTAACCACGAAGACGCGCAGCTGTCAGAGATTTTTATCCTACAATTTTAGGCAAGCCCGAAGCGAGGAACTGCTGAGTTCAGGCAATTGTATCTTGCTGCCGAAGACCGCTGACAAGTTTCGAGATGAACGTCGCAAATTTATTGGCACCGTTTTTGCTTGCTTCGATCACTTCTTCGTGATTAGGTTCTCTATTCGTCCCGTACTCCACGATGCATTCATTGGTGATGAGACTGCAGCCGAACACGAGCATTCCGCAGTGACGAGCAGCAATCGCTTCGTGCACCGTGCTCATCCCTGTCAATAAAAGGTGAATAAACTTATTTTATTTCCTGTGCACGCCTTTGAGTCACTGAAAAAATCAGCCCCAGATGGAATTTTGGATATATTTTCGGACAATTTGATCATTCAACCAACTCTTGTTTCCAATTTAGATCCCTCTCAAGGATCAAATTGTCTTCGCTTTGAAAGGAAGAGTTGCATGGAAAACCCCATTCACGCGGACATTAAAAATACGCTTATCTGAATTTGAATCACGAAAAAATCAGGTTGCGAATTTATGATCTTATATATTCGCAAGTCAAATGCTTATTCATGTGATGATGGTCCAGAGATGCTCACCATTTGAATAGTCAAGTAATGAAAAAATATGTGAAGTCATTGAGTTTTATCTGAACTTGACGTAAAAAGGCAAATCAAATGACAAAATGATATCAGTTTTCCCAACTTTTCGGGGCCGGAAAATTTCCGTAAAATTTTCGGCAGACCGGCAAATTCCCAAGAAATTTTCTGCAGACCGGCAAAGTTTCATGAAATTTTAGCTGACTCGAATACGTTTTTTTTGGAAGTTGAATGACTTCATGGCAGGTATTTGAAAAGTTTCTGCTTTTTTGAAAAATTAAGTTAAGAAACAATGAAGCAACTACTGTATAGTTGAATGCAATCAAAAAATTGGAATCGTGGACTTGAATAAAGCTTTTTATGAATGGAAAATTAAATACAGTAATTCATTTCAGCAAGTGAGAATTAGGAGATGAGCCAACTTTTATTTTTCATCAGATAAATTAAACTGCCTCTGTATTTCCAAGAATTCGAATAAAGATAACTGAATTAATTGCTTCTTCTGATGAATTTATTTCCCTGAAAATTTTCCGCGGAAAAAACTTCTGCGGATCGTGGCCGGTCCGCACACCAGGGGTCGGGGAACACTCGTCTATATAGGTGCTGATAGCAAGTTTCTTTTTTTTCTGCTTATACCGTGATGATATTTAATGATTTTTCAGTTGGGTTGTTTTTTTCCACGTCAATTTCAATCGACCAAAAAATTTTGACAGATTTTCTCATGGATTGTTTTTGAGGATGCATTCGTTAAAAATTGCACGTTTATTCTGTGGTTTCGTTCCGCTGTGTGGTCTGGTTTCTGTTTTTACAATACTCTACTGTACTGTACAGTAGTCGTATTGTGAGCAAGTGACAGTGCATCTTAGTTTCGCCGGTTAATCGAGACTCGAGTAAATAAAATAACCGACGATATCTGCATGTTGTACATTCAAATGGCTGAGCATGTGTTGATGTTCTTTCCCGGCGTATTTTCTCGATGAATTTACTCGTTTACGGGTTTCAGCAGTTCTTTCGAAAATTCATTAAATTCATTTTTCCATCGTTGGCGTGATCGAAATTCGCTCGAATCAGTCCAAAGCCTCACCAACGGCGTCCACGCCAGCCAACCGAAGAAACTTCAATTCGGCGACGGTCTCGTAACTCGGACCACCCAGAGCGGCTAAAATACCTTCGTGAACCTCATGCTGAATATTCATGGAAACGGCGACAGCTCTGGCGATCTGGCGGATTCCGCCGTCATACAAATCCGTCAGGGACGGAAATCTTGGACCCAACCTATAAGGAAGAGAGACATACTGTCAGTTGAGTACCCGACCAATGAAAATTCTCCCCCATGAAAAAAAAAAAAAAAAATCCCGCCGCTAGCGTATCGACACCTGGCATCTTTTGTATCATTCATCTCTCTCTGGAAGGAATAAAAAATCTGCGCAGCAACGTTCCATACCCGAACGCGATTGACTATCTTTAAGACGTCGTATAAGTCTATAACAGATGTCATTAAAATGTTGTTGAACATCCCTGACGAGTTTAACTCAATTCTGGAAACCCGGAGACAATCAATGCAAAACATAATGCAAAACATGACGCAAAATTGTACTTCGGGGTTCGCGGAAATGATTACTCGTCAATTCGAACATCGACTACTTGTCAGTTGCGACAACACACGCAGCAAAAATTTGCAAGGTGCAACTTGACTAGTAACAGATTCTGGCCGCAGGAAAATTGTAGAGATTTATCGGACACAACGCCATCTATGTCTTCTAGTTTGTAACTAATTATGTGAATAAATTTTGCTCTAAATTTTGAAGGTTTTAAATGTGACATCTATCCTAAATTTTCTTGCAAGTGTTGAATGAGTCCTTGAAGAATGTTGAAGCATAGCATTTGTGAAATTAACGTCAATTATTGTATTTGAAGAAAAACGGAGTCATAACAAATTAGCCATTCATTGAAACTATTATTCACAATCCAAATGTATGAGTCACGTGACACAAACAAGTTTTTTGGAAAACTGCGCGTCGCTTTACTCTTCAAACAGACCATGCATTTCATCATTCACTGTAAAACGCATGGGAAAAGTGAAAGGTACTGAAAGGTTTCAATTTTTAAAAATTACAATAGATGAGTTCTGGTGGTACTGCGAGTTGTCATATCTGGCGAGTTGTCGCTGTGCCAATGGTCCGGTTACCTGCGGACTTGGCTGGATTCTTAAACAAATGTATCATTTGTGCTTTTGTACGCAATACTTCATTAATTATGCACGTCACGAATCTTTCAAGAAATGCAAATAAGTAATCTTTTAATTTACGGCCGGGATAAAGCTCTTCATATTGATCAGGTTTCGTATCCTTCGAGAGGAATAAACTTGTGTAATGAGATAATTTAGAAATGTTGACATATTCTGAAGTAGCTGGAGAAGCCTGAAGTGAGTCTTTCCAAACCCTCTACGTTTTCAAGTTATAAATGTTGGATATGGCTGTGAAGTAGCTGGGTAACCAAAAAATGTGAAAAGCGAAGAGGAAGACGAAACTGATCCTCTTATCGTGTTTCGCATGACCGAGTGCAACAGCGTAAACTCTCGAAGGGCTCAACATGGTCGTGTTCTGGTTTGCTTCGCCACATCACTTGGCACATTGGTCGAAAACTGGATGCCAGCACACTCAAACATGTCCCTTACGACTGAAGACCTTGCTACTTGGAAAAATGACACACGGCGCTCTTATTCCCCATCAGAGATGTACACGCCCAGGAAAGAATTTGGGTGGATACTCAAAGTATTACGTCGATTTTTTCCAAATATATTCGTGGTTTCAATCTTCCAAGGTCACTGCGCCAGTAAACTGAGAACAGCCGAATAAGTTGTTGAAAGTTTGCGATGATAGGTAAAGGTCTTATATACAATCGCATTTTGTTAAAAACTTTCATATCAAATTGCCCTCCAGTATTGAATGAGAAAGGCAATAAGCTTTCTTGTACAATCTCCTCATGTACAGTACTTCCAAGGGGAATATTACTGAATACTTCGGTTGCATCTTCCACTCTTGACTGGAAGAGAATCAAAGGATGTATGCGTACGAATTTTATGTTTTATGAACGGTATTGCGGGGTTAATTAAAAATCGGATTGCACAGAAGTTTCGCTTATTTGTGGCAAATATCCGAAAACTTCTATGAACTTAAGATCAACTTATTTAAAATAAACCTGAATAGACATCATTTTTCAGAGTTTCCTCTTTTAATTTTCTTATTCGTGGGACCCTTTGCAAGCAATATCTACATCGTAGAATAAAGAAGTGGAATAAATAATTTCACGACTCCCCTTAGTCGTACAGCACTAAGTATCTCCCGAAGTACTTCTTCGTTCAAAAAAGAAAAAATCAAAACTTACGCTTTCACGACTGCCATAAGTCCCCGAAGTTAAAGATATATTTTTCTGTTATTCTCGTGACAATTGCCTCTTGATATTTAATTTAATCATCTTAAATTATTCTGTCCGTTTCTTCGTGAAGCGGCTGCTCGTAAATAGTACTGTGATTTGAAAAGCACCTCTTGAAAGAAACTTAATTTTTGAGCAATTCATTCATATTGTCCTTGCCCGCAAATCTCGCATTCCCACCATCGGCCCATCATTTTCATCGGCATATTTGAGACATCCTGATAATATTACACGAGTTCTGAATGCAAAAAAAAAAAAATCGAGCAAATTCATCTGGTGATTTCTCAGCAGCCGCTGTTTTTATATTCGACGCCATCTTTGAAAGGGTTAAAGGCACGTTTTTTTGTCACCTCACAATGAAATAATATTTTGTGGGTTTTATATTCAACAGGGGTGCTGTATATCAGCAGACCACCAAGCATTCTTTTGAGACTGTAATCATAAAGAACTCTTTAAAGTACAGTAGACAGTAGACAAATTTTGTTGTCTGTAGACTGAGGAATAAAAATATACTTCAATAAAATATACTTTCAAATGTATTCAGTTACAACATTCGTATTTGTACAATCACACAAACAAGACAATAAAATAAAGAGCTTTGAAGAGAGTCTGGCTAAATCATTTTGCAAGTCTCTCTGAGAAATGACCATAATGAATTCTAGATTAATTTTGAGGAATTGTCTGGAATGAAGGTACATTTATGCCTTCATGAGAACACATTCTGAGAATGGAATCTCATCCCAAATCATGAACTGTGGGTTCCATCATGAACACTTCTAAATTATTAAATATACATCCAGGTTTTTATTCAATATAAACATAAATATATATACATGGCAGTTCAAAAGAACCATTCCTTCTAAATTGCTAATTTAGAAGGAAGAACCGGTGAGGGTTGTATGTCACTGTTGTCAAATAGCAAATTGTAAACAAAATGAGCATAAATAGGCATCACGGTTTAATGCGGGTTGATGCAAGTTGAGGGAAAAAAAAAGAAAACAGCTGCAAGGAACAGAAAATCTTGTAGTTAAAAGACTTATTCCCATGTAAGGAGAAAGAGAGACAAAGCTCAAATCATTTTCTGGATAACAGTATAGAGTATAGAGTATTCAATATGGAGATTGTTTGAGGTATCAAAACGCATTCTATTTTTGCGGTCATTGCACCTTCCCCAGCTTTTCTTAACACCAGCGTAATTAAATTAGAACGGGAGATTTTCACTGGAGCTGCAATAGATCAATCAAGACTCACGGTTTACATCTTGTGTTTGCCCTTAGAGGCGTGGCTTCGACCGCGAAATGTTCCATCATAAATTGCAGTTTATAAGAGCTTGTGCGAGACCATGTTTCAAACCATGCACATGCATTCTGACAGGCATTCATCAAATACCAAGTCAAGATTGACGACTCATTCCAAGTAGGCGCACGAATTCTAGAGATTCTGCCTATATTATTATCGTCAAGAATTTCCCTCGTAAATTAAACATATAACATCGAGGAACTTTTGTAGTGAACGGTCAGCCATTCGTGATCTCTTCGTTTTTGTTATTGAACTAAATTCAGGTGTCTATTTACGGTTTGCGCGAAAACACTTGGGCGCATTTCGCGTTTACTTTTTAACTTTTAGAATTGACTTCATTTCATGGGCACGTGTAAATTCAACAGAATGTGCATCAAGCTCAAGTAGTGCAAGAGGTTTGGCAAGTTACATTTGAAGGATGAAAGAACTGCGTGTCACGTTCGACGAACCTCGTGTCCCTTGCTCTATAAGAGTACAAGTAGTTTTTTGTTAATTTTGCAGGCCTTATGTACCGCTAAAAAAACGCACAGCACTTTTTCCGATTGACTCGAAAAACGCGGTAAAATCTGGGATACATTTACTGGCTAAGATATTAATGTCAGATTCAACTAACCGATCTTCGTTGCTGCCGCGAAGTGGAGAGATTCCGGACAACCCCAAAAAGTTCAAGTGGTCCTTGATGATCATCATGTCACCCACTTTCATGCTCGGGTTCAGGCCTCCAGCTGCGTTTGTCACGATCATGATTTTAGCCCCCAGCAATTTCATGATTCTAGTTGCGAGCACCACCTGCATTTTTCAGAAGTACGCGAAAAATCAGAGAAGTTCAAAACACACCTTTAAAAGTGAGAAATTAGAGACAATGTAATTCAAAAATACATTGCGCAGTGCGCACCCTCAACTCATCGGCGAAGTCCGATGAGAAAACGAGTTAGAAAAAAATCCGGATAATATACAAGTATGCGTGATCCCATTTGAAATTTTTTTTGGTTCGATGATTTTGAATGGCCGTGAATGCCATAATCACGAATTTGACATAAAATATAACTTATTTGAATACGGTACACTCGAATCAGGCATGTCTTTGAGTACGAGGTCAACCTGCCAGAAATTTCAATCTTTCATTGCATTCCATTTCGAATGCTTCATCACAATTTAGGAAAAAAATTAAGAAGCTTTTGTATTCAAATATACCATAGCAACCATGATATGAAATTTAAAAAATGCATGATCACTAAATTGAACTTTCATTTGAGGATGAAATCAGACTTGTTTCTGCTAACGCTTCTTTTATTACTGCAATTCACTTAGAAAATCAGCCCAAAATCGTTTGTTGTTACCCTGTTTAATCAGTAAGCCCAGTGGGATGAATTCTATAGAGCTTGGAAATGAGGAGGAGAAAACTAGAGCGGCTTTAATCTTTCAGGGAGGATCTCCAGCACGGTTATTAGATCACGCACATGTCCGTTTCTCCAACTCCAAATGATGACGGGGTTACAAGTGCCCCATGTTTCTGAGAGACTTCAGAAATGGACGAAACTACATTTTTAACATGGATATAGAAGAACCCATGGGACTGACCTCGGACATGCCGAAGCCTTCATAGTAATGGCACCTGCCTTGGAAGCAGACCACTGGCACTCCTTCGAGAAGTCCAAGCGAAAGTTCACCACGATGACCACTGACCTTGCATTTTGGGAAATGGGGAATTTCCGTGTAAGGGATCGTTCGCTTCTCGGATAAAAGATCCCCGATTCCACCTGAAACGCCAGAAAATTCGGGTGATTAATATGGTTATCAGCTCCCGGAAAAGCTGCAGGATTTTTTTTTCGCTTCGGATTTACACATTTTTCTCGGGCAAATTCAAACTATCTGATGGGCATACATTATCAAGAATTAGGGCAGCACTTACTCAAACCTGAACCACATATTATACCGATCCTCGGTCGGATCTCTGTCTGTCCCAGAATGAAATCTGCGATTTCTTGCATCTTCTCGTAGGAGTTTCTGAAAAATATAATGAATCAAAGCATTCGTATCAGGTTGTACCACTTTGCACAGAAAAAACCTCCAGATACGGTATTATAGTGTGTTTTTACCACGTTTTCAATGCGCATTTTTTGCATTTACGTGGATTATCTGCAGTGCTACTCATGGGAACAGGAAAGTTGCATCATCCATAATATGCATTTGTACAGCGAAGCGTCCGATATACTTCGTAGAAAATTTCAAGGACCCGCAAATATTGTATAGCGTATATAATTTTTGTGCATAGCAAAGATGACATTTTTGAAAGACTCAAGATTTCAGATTTATACAATTTCAGGTAAATCCTAGGTTTTTATGAATGTATGGCGCGAGATTAGATGAAACAAGCTGTGGTGTGCATTTTATGTTCTATCGGTACAAACAGTGCAGCTTTGACAGTTATTCGTTTTTTTTTACGGTCGACAACTGGAAGGATTTTATCATGGAAGGATTAATATAGAATGTGGTCTTGCTTTTTAGTTCATAGCGTCATTCGAAAACATAATTTTCCGACAGAAAGCTGGCCCACATGGTTACTTCACACAGATCTTGCATCTACACTGCTTTTCAAAAATGAAAAATAAAATAAATTAGGATGGCGATTGAATTATTTGAATCGTCTTCAGTTGAAAAATTCGTGTGGTAATAATAGCGATGATATTTCTTGAAATAAATCCTGCCCACTCCCCATTTTCTTGGCCTATCCTCGGAATTTCGAAGGTTGAATTGCACAGAGCAAACATCTATTTTGAAAATTTATCCTTGACGAATTGTGGCAAAGGAAAATATGCTCGAAGAACATCATTCACAGTTACATTTTCGGATATCTTGGTTGCCCAAAAGGTTCGTGATATTTATCTCGCCACTTCTGAATTTCGAACCTGAAAGCAAAAACCGTGTCGTAAAATTCAAAGCATGGAAATCTATCCCAGATAGCTTGTCAAACATTTCTATTTGAATCTCAAATACTATATATCATGTCGTAGATGATGGGATCGCTGTGTCAGCACGAGTCACGCGACATGCTGATTAACTACTCAGACACTTGATCAAGCCATAATCACGTCACGACGTCGGTAGTGCGTCCTGAGTCGTCTGACATAGCTTCAAAACAACCCGAAACCGCGACGTTTGTTCGTGTGCAACGCGATTGCGGGGAATGTCATCGATCCTTTATTGCCTGCGTATCTGTGCTGGGTACGATTAGGTATGACATCACTAATCAGGTGTTGGTTCAAACCCAGGGTATACCAGGGGTGATTGGGAACCAGGGACAATTTGTATTCCTCCCGAAAAGGTGCAGAACTGGTTGACTCACATTAAAAGGAATTTGTGGGGGCATTACAAAGATTCGTATCTATAAAATAACGAAGGCGATGAATCCAGTTTACAGTACTCATGCGAGTGCGTAATATCCAAATGAAGCCAGACGTACAATTACTAATGCAGTGAAATGTAATACGGACTTCACAGGAATTCTCGTCAACTTTTCATTTATTGAAAACGTGAGGGCTGAGGGCATGCCGCCAAATTATACTTCAGCTCTATTATATTTATTTTTGTTACGCTCCTCTGATACTGTAGTTTACGATGAGGAGACTTTTTAAATGTATATGCCACAGTGAAAAAAGAGCTGTCGCTGATTATGATGCCGTGAACCCAACTTGTATTTCTTTTGGATTGATGATTGATTGTAGTTGCCATGTTCTGGGCATTCAAAAGGAATATAATCATATCAGCCGTATCCAAAAATCTTTCCCATTCGCTGGTGCCATTCGTTAAAAAAAATCGAAGTGTCAACTTCATCAGTGATATTAACTGCATAAACATAAATCGTCACGGACTCAACAGATAAATCTACATTAATCCTTGTTGTGCATATGACTGAAACAACCACGGTGATGATTCATTGCATCGGCATTCAAACGAACTACAGTTAAGCTAATGACAGTATTAATGAGCTTCAAACCATTAAGCAAATCAATTAGAAAAAGCCACCATTTGTAGTAAAGATCATTAAAAAATGTCCAGCAAAGTCAAGGAAATGAGTTGTTCACTTGTTTAATAAGGATCAATATAGCTTTATATGCTGAAACCGTGACGATTTATGATTAGGTACTTTAAATGTGTTGCCCCGCGATAAAAAAAAGAAACAGTGCTCGCTGCGTCTCGAACTTTTAAAACGGAACATTTTAATTATTTTCGTTAGGATTGAATTTTACCTTGATTTTAAAACTCTGACTCATTTTTTATTTATTTTCATGGCGGTGCTGCTGCTGCTAGACGCATGTGCTAGTGACGCTCATAAAAGCCTGAATTGCCCCAATAAAAAAACCCGATTAGTCTCGAACAGAATTGCGAAAAAAATCTCTACCTTCAAACTATCTGGGTCTGAAGACTCTGAACTAGCTGAAGTAGCAATGGCCCTTTTTACTTCGCAGAGGGCGTATTATCAATTTGTATAAATTACCAGGCATGGGGTCTAAAATCACAAATACGCCCATATGAATGCTCCTATGCTTTGTTTGAAAAGGAGCATGAGCGTGTTTTTGAATTCATGAAACAATGGAGGGAGTTGCTTTCAGACGACGACAAGACCGCAATAATCTAAGGTTGCTGTTTCTCGATACAGTTCAATATAACGCTCGTGCACTTCAGAATTAACAGTAATGTAGTAAATCTGAATACAAAGAGACCACGAAATACGGACATCCCAACATACGGACGATTCGACTTAGGGACGCTTGAACTGGAAAAATCGACCCCGACATCTGGGCAGTGACTCGAGATACGGACGTTTCCCCTTAGATTCCTGGAAGAATTCAAACATTTTAGTTTTCTAAATTTTTTCATTTCTTGAAGAAATTAAGCTATTTACATTTAGAAATGCTAAAAACAAATTTCATTCTATAATTACCCTAATTCATTATCAAAAACAGGCCAATTATTTATTTCTTTTCTAATTATTTCCATCAATAGCAATACTTTTTCTTGTTGTTCGCTTCTTGAGCTTCTTCTGATGCCATAATTTCAAATTATTTGTTGTTTTTTTCAATAAATTAATTTTCTGTATCTTGAAGTTGAGAAAATATTATTTTATTCAATTTTAGGGACTTTTTTCATGCATTCAACTACAGTCAAACCAATTGAAATTATTCCCATTGAAGTTTATGAGAAAACAAGGTCCGACAATGCGGACGGTTCGACTTTGGGACAAGGCCCATGCACCAATTATGTCCGCATCTCGTCCCACTATTACGAACGAAAGCAAACTTTTTTCAATTTCTGAAGAAAATTCCTCGAAATTTGTATCAAAGAGAGAAGAATTTTCAAACGAGCTAATTTCTCAATACATGTGTTTTTAAGTTGTATTTTACAGTTAACGAGAAAAAAAATTGGTTCATGCTCAGCTCTGGTAACCACGGTTTTCTTTGAGGTATTATTTGAGCCCTTGGAAGGGTTCAACTATAAAGTTCATTCCACGATTAAACGTAACTTTCGACAAGGTTTTCTTCGTTTTTTGGTAAAAAAAAAAAAAGAGTCATGTTGACTAGGGTTACCGACAGTCGAATGTTTTCGTCATTCAAATCGGCATGAGGGACAAGGAAACACCTCTCTATTTGCCTTTGGGGTCACAGAACACGCCTCAAGGACAAATCATATGCAAACCTTGTCATTTCTTTGAGGAATCAATTCAAGACCGCAGGTTCATTGAATAAGACGCATCCAATTATTCATGCCCCGCAAAGACCGTTTTCTGTGCCGTCCCGGTCGTCGGGGTAAAAATTTTAATCGCACGTCACGAAGAAGGACTCGTAACAAATCCGTAGCTGAGACAGGAGTGGATGCCCTGGCACTCGATATCAAAGCCTCATTACTCACAGGTTGTCTGTTGACTCGGAACTCATGGTAGGTAATGCGATCCTTGATGCTGAGCCGACAGCGCCGATCAAACGGAAGCCGAGTGTTGTACCTCACGAGAGCAACTGCGGAGATTCTCCAACACCTGTGACGAGGTACGCTCCTCGATTACGCAGTGCAAGTACAGCAGTTGAACCCACGGGGGTGAACACGGGAAATCGGGTAGCTGTGGATGTAGAAACGTAATTTCAAGCATGCCATTCATCATGACTTTTTCCAAGGAGCAGAAACACACATCTCGTTTCGATAACAAAGTTAGGTCAACATTCTGTTCAAATGTCGGGCGTATCGAATTGGAAATTGACGACCGACACTGCTGCTACAATTATGGGATTACAGCGTAACCCCTGACTTCGGAGCACCTCGCAATTTTTTAACGATAGAATACATCAGTACGTGGAACTTACAGATATTTTCTGATTCCACCTCGGAAAATTTGTACATGGTATGAACGAGGATTGTTCGATTTCACCGCGAAGCCGAAAAGATAAATCAATAATATTTCGAAAAATGCATAATTTTTTCCATACTCAGCTATTCGAGTTATATTGCAAGTGCCCAGACCTCACTAGAGATCGTGAAATGCATAAACTTTCGAGTCCCGCATGTATGGAGAAAGAAAAAAGTAATTTAGGAGGCGCTTGACTTTCTAAATACTGTACTGGATTTCATCACGTCGAAATCAGCTGGCAACCTTTCCAAGGGAAGCATCAGAAATATTCTTACTGCTTCATCTGATGATACTGTATAAAGATATCAAAGCTGTCTGCTAATTTTCTTGCTGAATACTGTGTTCAGTCCAGAAAATAGCGTGCGAGGGATGTGAATCATTTTTCTTTTTTAAATTTCGAAGGTTCTCGATTCGGGAAAAAACACATGAAATTGCTTTTAGAAAAAAATTGTCTTATACGACGAAATAATCGCAATCAGAAATGTTCTGATAGTTCCCGTCGAAGGTTTTGAAAGAGGAAAAGCGTAGTTTGTCAGCATATTTTTTTAGCCTATTTATTCTCCAAGTTGAAGATAGCCAGCAAGTGCGTTTCAAAATGATCGTAAGAGTACGGGTTACTGCCGACCAATTTGAACAAAAACATCATTAAAAACTTGAAAGGTTTCTGTTCAAGTATTGATTCCGTACTACGGTTCAAATTCAGGTTTCCGAGCGTATATTATTTATCTATAAACTCGGACAGGTTACAAGTTTATCGTTTCCCTTATTTTCAAGTTTAGGGGGATAGATATAAAACGAGCCGAATACTTTTTTGAAATGAACTGTGAATCGCAAAAAACTTGATGAACATAAGCAGGGAAAAGTGTAAGTGCAGTATGCGCAGGTTCATATTTCACCAAATATGAAGGACACTGAAAGCAAGTCTCCGGCTAATTAATTTTTTTCCCGGCGAAAAGGCGGGATATTTCGAAATCATCTGGAATTCTAGAGCTGTAAAAATATGATCTGTAATCAATTTTTGGTGCAGAGAGGGATTAATGATACTGTATTTTCTTTGGAAAGGCAAGACAAGTCTCAACCACGAAAGAAAAACCATGGTTTTGCACAAATTAACCAACAACAGTTACACAGTATCACTGTTAGAATGGAAGATGATCGCATACTGTCAGTACAGTTTCTGATTTCCGCGAACAAGCAGGCACTTCGAAAATTTTCAGACAGCGTTCAATCTGGGAATACAGCAGTTTCGGTGACGATATCATCGGAAGGACTATATACTAAACTAATGTATTTCCTGTCTTCTCCTTTGATTTTTATTCGATTTTTCGCATCTGCTCAATTTTGCTATCGAAAAAAAGGCCAGCCACTGACGGGTCTCCCGTTCATTTCAATTTATTCAGGGCATTATTTTTTGTATTGTCTTTTGAATCTTTCAAGGATACACTACTTACTTCCAGTGATTAATTTTGCAATATTTTGGCGTCACTCATATGAATATTCCTTCAAGTCATATGAGCAACAGTGTTCTTCAACCGGAGAACAATATTCCCTCTGATGGTGTCCACCTCAAAAAACCCAGTAGACTAGTAGAGTAATACCAGAATTTATATTTGTAAAGGAAAAATGACCATTTTTACATGCTTATATTTAGGAAAATTTCTCGTAGAAAAAAACAGAAGTGTGGCTTGCGTATATGCTGCACCAAAGTCTCCCCTGGACAGCCCAACTACAGCAGATATATTGACATTTATCGGGAAGCAAAATAACGCAGTTCACTATCACTTGCTCATTTCCCAGCCATAACATGCAAAGCAACACTTTCTGGGTTTGAAATCACCAGTGCCTTAAATTCGTTTTATTTATTCTTTTAATCTCCACTCACTCTATCTCGCAAAAGAAAATTTATTGATAATTTTTTTCCGGGTTCTGCCAGATTTTATCCGCCAGTTTCCGCTCACATTTTTGCGCGGTATGAAAGTTTTTTTTATATTTTTCATCCCCGACGTCCCTAATCAAAAGTCGGTGGCGGCACTACACAAAGGCGAATTAGATGGGCTAGTTCGACAGCTAAATCGGACAGTTCGAGTAAGCTCGAGACACGTTTAAAAAAAAATTGACGGAATCCGGGATTAAAGCCGGTTACACCGCGGGTTCCGCGGAGCAGCTCGAGAAGGCGCCCTTCGTCACCGATCGCCAGGCGGGAATTACCGCCGCGGAAGTCGAGGAGCGGCATTTTTGTTCCTGCGTGAGACGCTGCCGTCGCGGGGGCCCGGCGGCGGCGAGCGTCGAGCGAGCGGCTTAGCGTATGCTGTATAGCGGCGGTTGACGCGGATGCGCTCGCGCGACTCCGCGTGTACTATACGACCGACCGCCGGCAACTCGATAGTCAGTCGCGGGTAATCCGCCAGGGCGTCCCCGTGCGGATAACACGAAACTCTTCGTTGCAGAGGACGACTAGTCTGTCTATGCTCCGAGCTTCTTTCGTGGACCCTGGATCGAATTCGGGAACCAGCCAGGTTTCTATTTCTCTGGCCCGGGCTTATTCTGCGCTGACGTCGATTTAGGGTACCGATGGTGAGGTGGTGGTACATCGACACTCAACAGGTGGCATAGGGGGTCGCCCAGAAATTCTATTCTCTGGCCCAGGCTTATATTCTGCGCTGACGTCGAATTAGATCGGTACAATCACTTCACGTGAAGTGGTGGTACATCGACATTCAACAGGTGGCATAGGCCCATAGGGGGTCGCCCAGAAATTGCAGAAGAACCTTGAAAAACACTACAGATAGAGACTTGTACCGTACCTTATTGTAGCTTAATGTGCACTTACATAGAGGCCCTGATGAGAAGAAAACACGTGACTCAGATTTGAAAATGTCAAGGGAACCTAGTAGTACACTACTCTTGAGGAGGTTGGGCATCCATGAGGTGGTAAATTATCATTGAATACCTTGGCAGGGTTATGTGATCTACAAAAGGGTTGAAAACCTCCGTTGTAGTGCTCAAGATTTTCTTTCCCGTGCTTGCATTCCAACAGAGAATACGATATTTCTGAGATGTAGGTCACGCGCGACTGCTTACCTGATCTCTGGCAACGATTTGAAAGGGGAAAAATGTATATATGAGGCCGCATACAATTTGAAACTGTTATAGGAGGAAAATATGCGCAATCAGAGAAAAGTGATTTTCAACTTGTTGAAATTTCTCAAGATTTTTGAGTACATATTCCCAGCCTTGGTGCGGCCTGTAAATACTTCCAATTATCATGAGAAGGCAGGTTGTCGAGGCTGGCAATAGAATGAGTCTAATTTATCTCAGCTCTTCAAATTTTCTGAAGACATATTGTAAATGTATATCCTTAAATGTTTGAATCGTCACTGGATCGTTTTTTTTTTTACCGTTTACATGGATGCAAACCTTGGAACAGTCATGAGATGATCAGGATTATACGAGTATACACTGTACACTGCACCCATTAACTTCCGAACACGAGTTGCCACGAAATGCACGAATCACGACCAATACATTTTGGCAAACATTTTCTGTGAATGGGGAACAACGTAACTTAGTTCATGTGGTTCATCTTTATTTTCCATGCTATGCCTCAAATCTCAGAAAAAGTATGTGCTGTCCTAAAGAAAAATCAAGTTCAAGTCCCACAGCCATGCTATCAACTCCTGGGTCAGGAGCAATTGACGCCTTTTCTCATAACTGATAATTGTAAATTAAATTCTTGATTTGAGAGAAGAATGTAGGCACGAACGGATTTGATCTGTAGTGCGTGTACATTTCCCCCTCTCACTTTTTTGAAAGCCACTGCCAGATGATCCACTGGAAGAAATTGAAACATCTTCACAAAAAAATCGATCATCTGCTACGTCGATGAACACCAAAATGTCCCGCGATTCCATAGAATTAGGCTCCACTCCAGGAAAAGAATCTTCACTCTTGGAGTGAAGCAACCCGAATATTGTTTAGAATGAAGCATACCCTTCCCATTTGAATTGAATTCAAATCTATCAATGCTATGTTATGAACTTGGGAACTTGCAGAGTCATTTCTTTCACGCCTCATATTCAACGCGTGGATCACGCATGATGTCACTTAGTTATAGTCAGATTGAAACTGTGACATGAGGCTTTTCAGAAATGATCGCCTTTTTGCCCTTGAACGCTTTCGGAAGGCAAGGATTGTTTTACATGATCCAATAGTCAGTCACTCTAGTTACTGTCAAATACGAGTAGCTGTGGAGGGAGATCGAGAGTTCGGCTCAAGTCCCGTGTCATCTAAATCAATTGTTCATTAAACATTTGGACAATTTTACTCATAATGTCAACTGTTGAGAAAATGAAGCAGAGGGTATATCGTTCCACGAACCACGAACGTTAATCTCATCGTAAAAAGTAATCATGTTGCATCCGTATTTTGACAGACTTGAATGGCAGCTAATTTGGAGCACTTGATCACGCAGTTGTTCCTAGTCTATGATCAGTGAAACCCTCGCATGCCCACTACACCAGTGTTCCCCAACCCACTGTCCATGGACTGGCACCAGTCTGCAGAAGTTTTTTCAGCCTAATAAATTCATCAAAAGTAGCAATGAAGTCCATTATCTTCATGTGGAATTTTTGAGAGACAATGGCAATTGAAATTATCTGATGAAGAATAAAAGGTGGCTTTTCTCTTAATAACACCTCAGACAAATTTTCAACTGCTG